CTGATTTCCTGGTTCTGGACAGAACTACTAAACTATATAAAAAAACAAAACCATTCCGATTATTAAGTAAGTCTCATCACTTGAGTAGTTATGCTTAAATTCAGCTTTAAATATAAATAAATTAAATATATATAAAAAACAAAACAGCTACTTTAAAATATAATGGCACAATGTTCCTGTTTTATTGTATTTTTTTATTAAATAAATCTCCATTGGGTATCTTTTAAGACCATTTAAAAATCTTTCTTAGTTTCTAGGTAGTTTACCTTGAAATAATCAAAATTACTGTGACTAACTCACACTTTTTGCTTTTCTACAGGAGTTTCATGAGTTGAGTCACGGTCTTCTTCTCTGGCTGGAAAACATTGATCGGCGAAGGAATGAGATCATCCCAATCGCATCAGGGCTCGATCGACATACACTACGAGCACATCACAGAGCGCTAAAGGTACATCAGAACGGGTCAAAACTTCTTTGTATGGAGAGACTTGTGCTGAAAAAATTGGGACTTTATGCATAATAAATAAAAACGGAGAATAGAAAGCTTGTAGCCTTTAGTATGCTGATTATAGCATATAAAAAAGCTAAGAATAATATGACACTTTTTTTGTGTACTAGTTGATTGTTGGGTTAAAGTTTATTGAATAAGTTGGCATCTATGCAAAGTTGCTTATAGTTTGTTGGTAGACATATTAAGCAGCAAGTCTATTAATACTCTAACGATAGCTGTTCTTGTTATAGTCAACAGAATGCCTAAAGGGGACCATCAAGATAAAGTGTAACCTTAGAATACATTGACAAATGTTTGCCTGCAGCAAATCCAGCGTGAACTGACGGAGACGGAGCAGAAAGTGGATGGTCTGCAGGAGCTCTCAGGTCAGCTGCTGGTACAGGCTCATGGCAACGAGTGTCTGGAGGCCCAGGAGAGAGTGCACGTCATCGCTAACCGCCTGCGACTGCTCCTGAAGGCCGTAGAAACAGACCTGGAGATGCTGGAAAAAGAACTCCAGGATTCTGGGAACAGACAGGTCAGTCTACATATTAAATTCACACTGCATTATTTTAAGCTGAAAACATGGTCATTGGTAATTCCTAATATGCAGGTCAATGGGTACCAGCACTTTAAGAGTAAAAAAACATGTACAGGTGAAACAAAATGAATTCCTGTGGTTCTTTATGATAAACGGAGGGCTTGTGAAGGGAAAACGATCGGTCGGTGCAAGAAACTGAAATAGCTTTTTCAAGATTATTATGAATTACCAAGCACTATGGTTTCAGCTACAACTCTTTTTTAATGTTCTACTGAAAAAAGAAGCCACCTACATTTGATGACCTGGTGTGAGTGAGTAAAATCATCCATCAGTTTTCCATCAGCCAGTTTATTAATATGTTAGAGACTTTCTTCGATTTCATTTCAACGCTAAAACTCAGATCTTCACCAACTCACAGGATGCTTCCCTCTGGTCTGTAACGGATGAGACAGAAACTTCTGGATCGGTCAGTCCTGTTTCAGAGGTCAGCGTTTCCACTAAACGACAATCGGTAATGCACCTCCTCCATTTTTTTCTTATTATTTCAGGCATGGTGTGAAGGTCACTCCCCTGCTAATGTGAGGTGGTTGAGCTTATATCATGGGGACATTTTCAATAGATTCGTCCAGTTTCATTTTCTTCATTGACAAAATCCCCCAGGATATTTGCTCACCCCCCTCTGAAAAAAACTGCAAGATGTTTGGAAGTACTTTACTTCTATTGAAATTTATACAAGAAATGCTGGCTTTACCTTTCAGACGTGCTTTGATCAAATCAAGCTTTGTTATGTTTGTTTGAAGGTGTCTGCATGGAAAGCCAGGTTTCTTGCGTCTTGCGATATTTCCTTTTCATTTTGTCATTGCCACCTATTTTTGCTGCTGCGTTTTGTTTAGTTGTGACGGGTTTGTGATTATACTGATGGCCTGGCTATATGTTTCTGCTTGTCACCACAAGCTTTGTCTTTATTTGCTGGGACTGAAACATTCTTTCTTTCTTTTACCCCCCTCCCTCCCTTTTGCTCATTGCACAACAGCTACGAGGCAAATGTAGTGTGTCAGATCCAGGATCCTCATCCAGGCTTCGCCGTCACAGGTACCCTTCTCTCTGGGCTTTAGAATGCAGGGGGAGATGATGGACTTCTTCCAGATCCACAAATCCACCCCATCAGAGTCCTCTGTGTGCGGGCGCTTCACTTCTAAGAAATCTATTTGTTTTGGTTCCCAGTCAAGGATTCGTAGTAATCTGACGTGTTATTTTCCCCAAGAACATAATATTGAGTCTGACAGTGTCCTGTGAACACAAAAGGTCCATCATCTTTCTCCATTCTTGATGCCATTTGAAAAGTTTGAAATGTCATTTTCCAACCATGTGATTCTTTTTTGTTTTTGCTTTCATAATATTTTTTGCCATTTTACTTTGGTGATGCTGTCATGTTGTACATCTCTGCCTTGTAACAGAGAAAAGAACAGCCATATTGGGTTAAACTTTATAATAACTTTCATTAACAAACATAACATGAGTGTAATGCTTAACAATGTCTTATTTAATTTACCTTTTGGTAAATAGAAGTGCCATGAAACAGTATTTAATGCACTTGATCTACTGATTTGCTAAGCATTACATCATGTTTGTTATGACTTGTTAGTGAAATATATTGTGAAGTATTACAGAATATGTATGTATCTTTGATCATGACAAATATAGAAGCTATTTGTCCTGTAAGTCTGTCAGCACGTGACTAAATGTATGACTATATGCAAATAGAAAAACAGTGACCAATAACTTGTGAGTTGTGAATGGAAATTTGTCCATGGGTGGAAAAAAAACAGAAAAATTGGGTTTGTGATCTTCAGTTGAAGTCAGAATTATTAGCCCCCCTTTTTTTTATTTTTAAATATTTCCCAAATGATGTTTAACAGCAAGGAATATTTCACAGTATGTCTGATAAATTTTTTCTTCTGGAGAAAGTCTAATTTGTTTTATTTTGACTAGAATAAAAGCTGTTTTTAATAAAAAAAAAAATTGAAAAAAAAACATCAAAATGATTATTAAATATTTTTCATTATTTATATTTTTTATAGTCTACAGAACAAATCATCATTATACAATAACTTGCGTAAATACCCTAACCTGCTAGTTAACCTAATTAACTCAGTTAAGCCTTTAAATGTCACTTTAAGCTGTATAGAAGTGTCTTGAAACATATCTAGTAAAATATTATTTACTGTCATCATGGCAATAGATAAAATAAATCAGTTGTTTTAAATGAGTTATTAAAACTATTATGCTTAGAAATGTGTTTAAAAATCTTCTCTCTGTTAAACAGAAAATGGAGAAAGAATAAACAGGGGGCTAATAATTCTGACTTCAACTGCATATTTTACTATATATTTATAATATTTTTCAATTAGTTTTTACTTTTTCATTTTGAAGTTACTTTTAGTTATTATTTTAATCTTTTTTTCTAGTTTTAGCTTTAATAATACTTAAAACTATTTCACTTAGTTGCCAAAGCAACTTCTAATTTTCAATTTTCATTTAAAGTTTATATTTTGTTTCACTGTAAATGTTTTTAATAATTTAAGCTGAGAATAAAAGCATTTATTTAAAATAAATCACTCAATAGCATACAATAATCTGACTAACACAAGTTTTGAATATTTATGTGTGCGCTCATTATTTGAATGGCCTAATATTTGATCATCTATTATTGTTCTGATGTTTTGTAGGTTGGCCAGAGGTTCTGGCTGCGATTCGTCTCGCTCTGGTTCCTCCGGGTCACAAGGTGGCGTTGCTGTGGTTCGCTGCCAGCCCTTCCTCCTGCGAGTGCTCCGGGCGGCTCTGCCACTGCAGCTCCTCCTGCTGCTCATAGTGGGCCTGACCTGTCTGGTTCCCATGACTGAGCAGGACTACAGCTGTACCCTCGCAAACAACTTCGCTCGCTCTTTTCATCCCATGCTGCGCTACACCAATGGCCCACCTCCTGTATGAGATTTTACTGACTGACGCTTTTATACGTCCTGTAATTCACTGCAGGTCACAGAATGTGTTTCTGTCCACATGTCCAGGAACACATGTTCCTGTTCCTGTACAGTTACTGCTGCTAATTTCATTTTTCACTAAATGCGTACTATTGAACTCATTGCAATGTAGACTAGTGTTGGACAGTCAATCTGGTGAAGCTCTTCTGTACAAAGAAACGGAAGAGAAATAAATCATATATTATGTATTTAATAGCACTGACATACGCAAAAGGTACTGCACTTATACCGTCCACGAAAATGGCCAAAATTATTTGCTTAGACTAAGAAAAGTGTTAATTTTTTATTTTTTTATTATTTAAAACTGTAGAAAAAAATATTTTCATTGTTATTATTATTATTATTATTTAAATAAGATTTTGCATGGCAATTCAAATTTTTATTTTATGGCATGGATTTACTTTTTTTAAATCCCAAAATGTAAAACAGTAACTGATGTAGCTCCATGAGAGACGCGTGCTTTTATTACCGATATCTAATTATTGTATCTTAATTTGTGTGTTATGACAATGAAAATGTGACAAAACATTAATTATGATTACAATGTTTATGCCTATTTATGTATGTACAGTTTGCTAATGCTGACAATAAAGACAAATCTTTTCATTTAATATATATATGTATATATAAATTCTGCAAGTGTGCCTTTAAGTTTCTTTAAGATAATTATTATAATTTTTTTTAACTCCTGTGTAATTAATTGAGCTTCATGAACATTTTCACATTCAGGTCCTCCAAAATTAAAACGTTTGTACAAATGGTAACATTCAAGTATCCGATGTAAGAGCTGCTAAATACAATGTGCACACAAGACTAATGGATTATGACCAAACACATTGACGGATATGAAGCAAAATATGACAGTAGAATGTAAAGTAGAATCTAAGGCAGTCAGTGTGAGTTCCTGCATTAAAAGTGGACCACAGACTCATTTCAGACCTTCACAATGTTGAAATTGGGCTTTCTTTTCAAGCAGTAATCTGTTAAGATAGCAATAAAATCAACAATGACAGACAGCACTGTAACAAGAACAGCAATTAAAAAAATCATTTCATATTAACCAACAAGTAAACATTTTTGCACAAATAAGATGCAGCTATAATGTTACCACTGATCACTGAGCAGTTTTTCCCCATTAAATTACATATCAACGTTTAAAATAGAAGAGGGATTTAGATCCATAATATATCCCTGATTGCAATGAAAAGACTCACTTCATTAACATAAAGCCCCTTTTACAAGTAATCAGGTTTTTCCCCGTTTGTTCTAAGAGTAACTTTTCTCCTGGGCTGTTTTCTGTCTGTTCACACTTTATATCGCAGAGCTCATGTTATTTTAGATAAAAAGCTTATTAACATGAAAAACTGTCATTTAATAGCAACGTCCGTAATCTGTTTAGGGAATTGTGTGTAAACAGGATCTTTAAAAAAAAAAAAAGAAAGAAAAGCAAAACAGGCTAATATTTTAACAAATTAAGAATTCAATAAAAATAAGTAAAAGCAAAAAACAAACAAAAAATATTTAAGCATGTCAGTAATAATACTGGACCAATCATAAAATTCAGTCAGAGCGCTTTAATTTATGCCTTTCTTGATCAGGGTGGGGCCAAGTAGGAGCGCTCACTCTGATCCCCCGATCTCTGCCAAAGTTGTGGAAATTCCAAATTGAACTAAAAACGAAACATTACAATTGGCTTAAGATTGGCAAGAAAAAGTTGGCACATGCATCAACTAGAAGAACTTGAGTAGTTAAAAAAACAATTATCCCTTCATTCATTCTTTTTTTTTCTTTTTTTGCAATGCAAACATAAGCTATACTATAAAGAATGTAGATGAGGAAATCAGAGCAGCGTTTAAACTTAATTTACTTGTTTTTTGGTAGCCTACTGTGTGGATGTGGAACTTTTTCATTTCTGCATTCAACATTTAAAAGTTGGAAATTTCATTTTCAGATCTGTTTCTTAAAACTTTGTAATATCTGGTCATAAATGGATAATTACTATTGCATTAACATTATTTATGACAATAAAATACTCTAAAAATACAAAATACTATTTTAACACTAATATACTATTATAATATATTAATTTATTGAAAATTAAATCAGTATTTTTTGACTGCCATATGATCAGTATGAGAGCTTTAAGTGAGTTTGTGATGTCAAACGGTCACAAATTGTAAAAGAATAAAAGATGAATTAGCATCTCTCTCTGTTTCTCTCAAGTGTATGGGAAAAACAAATTCCTGTAATCAGCTTCCACAAAAACCGAGCGAAATCAACCGTAAATAGATCCTCAATATATAGTGTTTGGGAGGCTTATTCTTATTTACAGACTTTTTTTTCTATAAACAAATTCTCTTTCGAATGTCTCGGTTTCAATAGTAGACTCTCGTAAGGCACAAGAAGAGACTGAAGTCCTAGTCCTCATTTCTGCTCTTCAAATTGTGTATAATGTGTATATGGTGGCAGTGCACAGGTCAGGGGTCAGGGCTATGGCTGTGACAGGCGCCGTTGGACTGAATGGCTGCAGCTCCTCCTCTTGGACTGTTGTTGCTGCTGCTGCTGCTGGTTGTGGGTGTGGATGGAGGGTTTTTCTCGCTCTGAGACCACACTCGCTGCACCTTCCCTGAAGACTGGAACCGCTGAGCGTCCAGCATCTCCAGCAACAGGTCATACAGCGGCACTCGATTCTTACATTTCATTCGGTATAAGTGCTCCATTCCTTTGTTGCTTTCAAAAAAGAATGCAGATATAGAGTGTGTGTGACTGTAATGTATGCTGTAATAATTCAGCAACAATATCGCCATTTAATTGTTCTTTATGAAGACAAGAAAGTCCAATTTAAAGGGTAAACCTTTTCCAACCAAAAAAGTAATAGTTTTTTATTATTTATTAATGGATTAATAAAGGGTTATTGGATAGTGTATCATAATGTGTAATGAAATACATTTTAGTAGATTTTTTTAATGAAGGTAATAATAAAGGCAGGATTAAAGACAATATTATAAAGGATTTACTTGATCTATTCTACCTTTTAATTTTAACACACACACACACACACACACACACACACACATATATATATTGTAATACCAACACTTTTATCTATTCTCTTTTTACTATATAACATTTCTGTATATATTTATATACAGTCAAGTATAAAATTATTCAAAGCCCTGGGGTATTTTGTTTGATTATTTCTATTGTTCTCAGTAACATTGCTCTTGCTTTGGATATAAGCAATACAAAACAAATATTTTATATTCTATTGTCTAAAAATTATGTTTTTTTTTGTTAATTAGGTTAGTTCTGTGTCGATTGATCTATCATAAATTCCAGTATGCTGATTTGGTGCATTTTGTTGTCTTATTAATATTATATTATTTGTATTATGATGGTCGAATACAGTATTTATTAGAAGAAAGAAAACATCTGAAATGTTACTGAACATTTTTCAATGGTCCTTTATCTGGTTTCTGATGTTAGTAGTGTAAATTTAGTTATGTGTGTGTGACTCTCAATGTACCTCATGTGTCTGATGTGTGAGAGCAGCAGCAGGAGCTGGGCCTGGCGACGGGACTGCAGCTGCAGCGACGCTCCTGATTTACTGATGCAGTAAATGAGGGCATCAGTGATGTTGTCCAGCATGCACTGCACCATGAAGTTGTCCATCAGCGGCTCCACTGGACTGGAGCAGAATGAAAATGCACCTGACCAGACAGAAAAGGTAGCCATTACAACACTACACATTAACCTTTGATTTTGTTCACATTTTGGCACAATTGTTATGTAGTGCGTGAGACTGACACTTGATGGACTGATAAATCACCAAAGAGAAAAAAAAACACAAAAAGTGAAGCTTTAACAATAATATTTATCACCGATTCTGAAAAAGATTTTATATGTACAATTAAAGTTAGAATTATTAGCCCCACGTTGATTTATTTTTCCTTTTTAAATTTTTCTCAAATGATGTTTAACAGAGCTGGGAAATTTTCACAGTATGTCTCATAATATTTTTTCTTTTGGAGAAAATCTTATTTGTTTTATTTCGGCTAGAATAAAAGCAGTTTTTGTTTTTTTATAAACCATTTTAAGGTCAAAATTATTAGCCTCTTTAAGCTATTTTTTTTTTTTTTTTTTTTTGGCTGTCCTCAGAACAAACCATCGATATACAATAACTTGCCTAATTACTCTAACCTGCCTAGTTAACTTAATTGACCTAGTTAAGCCTTTATATGTCACTTTAAGCTGTATAGAAGTGTCTTGAAAATTATCTAGTCAAATATTATTTACTGTCATCATGGCAAAGATAAAATAAATCAGTTATTAGAATTAAGTTAAAACTATTCTGTTCAGAAATTGGGTAAAAATAAACAGGGGGCTAATAATTCTGTTTTGAACTGTATAGAAATCTGTTGATTTAGTTTGATTGTTTTACAAGAATTTACACTATTGAGAGCTGTGAAAAAAGAGTCTGAAAAGACTGAAAAGGTGTTTTTTTTAATGTTTAAATGACTATAGCATGGTGGTAGCAATGTTAAAATTCATTTAAATGTTCATGCATAAACTAAAAATGTACTCCATAAACACACATGAAATCACTTTGGATCATTTCTGCATCTGCCAAATGTAAACTCTGTTAGAGGCTTAAAGAGCAAGTGCCATGATAAATACCTGTTCTCAGCTGTCCTAAAGCATAAAATTAGCTGGTCAAACTGACCCGAATATATAAATATATATAAGTACATAAATCACACAGGCTTATCAAAATTAGACAATAGAAGATTAGAAATTTGAATCATGGATGTGCAGCTGACAAATTTGCAAAACTGCGTGATGCTATCATGTCAATATGGACCAAAATCTCAGAGGAATATTTCTAGTACCTTGTTGAATGAATGTCATGAAAAATTAGGACAGTTCTGAAGGCAAATGGAGGTCCAACTCGGTACTAGTAAGGTGTACTTATTAAAGTGGCCAGTGTAAATATTTGAAAAGATTACAAGAATAATTTAAACTGGGCAAGAAATTCATGATCAGGATACCAACTTCACCTTATTCATTTCTGACCCTTGAATAGACAAAATGCTCAGTGGCAGTACAAAACAAGTTTTAAAAGGCAATTTTCTACAAAACACATTTTGTATGATCAGTGATAGAAAAATAAGTAATTGCTATGAGCGTAATAATTCCAGATGAATGAGCAGTAATACTTATAATATGAATCATTTAATAATCTCTCTCCATCTTGCCGCCCTGAATGTGTTGCTGCCTTAGATGGCCTAGTTTAGCCTATATGCATTCGCCGGCCTTGCTTTTGTTGTTTTCCAAATGGGATGTGTCACCTTCAGAGGGGCACTTCAGAGTGAAACTGACAAGCATATTGTCGTTCCAAACCAAAGTACTCAAAACTGGCCACTTTAAAAAGCCCCTTTAGAAGTAAGGACTTTGAAAGGTACAACTAATGGACACTTTGGGCCCCCCGGATCCTTTGTACAGGGAATTTGTTTGGTATTGCACACCGTGTTCCATTTGTAAGGGCTCATCCCTATATGAAAAATGCTGTCAGTTATCTGATACACTCAGCCAAAGTTAAAATGTGTAGAGTTGTGGGTTCCCTGGACCAGCATTGGAAATCCCCGTTCTTGTACACAGTGTAATTAAATGATATAAGTTAATGCTTTGTTCTTTTCCTAAATACTTAATAAATAATTAATTAGACTTGTATATTTAGTGACTTAGACTTATCAAGCATTTTTCTACCGCTACTCTTGATTTGAAGTGCTTCTTTTTTCCTGGATAAAGGCTTCTGCTAAATGAGTAAATGTACTTTCTACAATGTCACTGTCCCAGACTCACCAGAATTGATGAGTATGATGGCTTTGAGACACACAAATTCCTCCAGCTTGAGCTTGAGACTCCGAAATCGAGCCACAGTTGCCAAGAGCATGTCGAAAATCTCAGCCATGCCCTCAACACATTCTCCTTCACTCCTGGAAAGAGGAAGACTAGAATATTCATGCAAATCCCAAAGTTTTAACCCTTACATTAGAGTAAGTATTGTATACTAAATAACCTATGCTTACATCCTAGATCATTATTTATGCATGTATAATTTAAACAAAGCTTGTTCAAATGTTTTTCGTTGTTTGTGCACAATTGATTTGTCCACATGGTCAACATTAAACCTTTTTTTAAGATTGGAACAGAAACAGGAGACAGAACAACAACAACAACATTTTACTGAACATTACAATATATGCCAAAATTAACAAATTCATATGTGAAGGGATTATGATATACCCCAGACTCTAGTTCAAGTAGTATTTAGACAGTTCATTGCTTATAACTTTAAGAGAGAAAAAGTGCAGACAGTGAGCCTGTGTTCATCTAAGCACGCATGAATACTACAGTACAAAGTCAAAGGATACTTTGAGCTTAGGTGATGTTTTTTTTTATCTACCGTGTGCCTTAAAATAGCCCACTTTTTATCTTTCCTCCTCTGGTGAAGCTGTAAGCATCATACATGATATTTACTGTTTACCTTTTCAAATCTAGGCCCTTATGGCATTTATAAATGATAAGACTTCTATATCCTATCTGTTCTTTCTTAGCAGTCTCTCTCACCAAACAGTTTTATCTTTCTCCTTCATCCTCTGGGATGCTCTGTTCAACATTGAAGCTCACAGTGCTACTTTATACGGATGCTGGTTTTGATTAAATTCATATTCCCTTAGTCAGTGATCATGGCGATGTTTTTCGGAAACCCTTTAAAGATCCTGTTCCCAATTGGGTCCTTTTTAATTACATGCTACTTTGTGACATGGTCTTCTGAAGAGGAGCACTAGGCTCTTGGGTAAACAGTTCACATCCTTTTTAACAATCTAGTTTTCGCTTCACAATATTTCAATCTCGTTTTGTAATGCGCAGCCTTCTGCGGGGGAGAAAACCGCATGCAACTTAATGTTCTTTAATAAATTGGGGCAAAAAATAAGAGGGAATGCATCGGGTCAATATGACATCTCAAAATCTCACAATCAGACTGACAGCATCAGTATGAAGTAAGACTGCCTGATAATAAAATAAAGCTCAGGGTTTCGTTGAAGTATAATTGGCGTCCCTCAGGTTTCAGTTGTCACATGTTTGTGCCTTTCTATTATTTTTAACAGTCAAACCGCTCAGTTTAATCAAAACAACTTAATGTGTTTTCAAAGCCTTTGTTTTCACACTTATTTATAAAAAGATAAATAAAAATGATGCTGAGATTGGAAGTGTGTCATTATATTGGATTTGTGTTTTATTTTTACTATAGTCTAAGTTCCTGGAGGGTTGCACAGTTTAGTTCGAACCCTAATTAAACACACCTGATCAATCTAATTAAGTTCTTTAGGCTTGTTTGAAACCTCCAAGCGGTCACCTTAGTTTGTGTGTGCGAAATTCTGTCGTGCATCGCTGCAAAAAGGGACGGTATTAAACAAGATGGTTAGACATTAAAACGCGAGCAATTGGTCAATGTTTTAAATTTCTGTCTAGAGAGGTCATGTTTTGGTTTTTGATTGGTCTTACGCAATCACATGATGCAATTTCGCAGGTCAGAGTTCACTAAGCTTGAATTTTTCAACGAAGTGAACTGCGAAGGAGCTTGTGTTTTTGGTCTGATCGCTTCATGTGTGTATGAATGGAAGTCTATGGGGAGAAAAGTCCAGTGTGACCGTGGCTTAAGTGTGTTGAAGCAGGGGTGGAACTGAACTGTGCAGGGCTGCAGCCCTCCAGGAATTGAGTTTGACACTCCTGGACTAGGTAATTATGTTTTCAGAAATGTGGGAATACATATTCTACATTGACTGCTTTTGTTGTTGTTACTATGTTAACAGTGGCCTACATGTAGAGGTTCGGATTATCCAGTACCTATCCAGGATGAGATCTTGAGCAAAGATGAGTTTTCCAGGGGAATGAATGGACCTCCATATGAGGCCAATCATCAACACCTCCAGCCAAGAGCTCTCCAACAACTGAACCTGGTCATGCAGAGACAGATCCTGGAATCCTGGTGAGACAGGAATGTTCACAACTCTAGGGTTAGTCAGACTTTCTTTTACAATGCATCCAATTTTTTTTTAATCTTACAAATATTTTGTCCTCAGAGAATTATTTTTATTTATCAGAGAATCTTGACATGTTTTCTCACAACAATATATAGAAGCTTTACAGTGCTCCAATGAATTCAAAATTATTTTTAGAAACAAAAAGAAGTTGAAAATATCTATACAGATATACAGTGGATAAAAGAGTATTAAACATGTCAGCATTTCCCTCAGAAAACATGTTTCTAAGTGTGCTGTTGACTTTACTTTTTCCCCCAGATGTCAATAATCAATGTAATCCATAAATACAAAGAAAACACAACTAATCAGTTTAGTGTCGAGAAAACAGTATTATATTTTATATATAGTGCTAATAATAGTAATAGAAATATTTACCTACCAGAAAATAATTCTAAAATATGGAATTGGACTTCATCCACTGAATCTGATGAGACAAATTGTTTACTATTCTGAGGTGTGTTAAAGGGGTAATGAGGACTACTGAACATGAAATATAATGACTCCCTTAAAGTCTCAGCAGCTCTTTATCTGTGTTCAGAGCTCAGCTGGAGGCTGCAGCACAGATCACTGTAATAACAGTCATGTTCTTTATCTTTGCGTCTGTGACCTTGTCATTTGAATCTCTGCCACCTGTGCTGTCAAACCTGCTGCCAGGGTTACATAAACTGGCAAGGCTGTCACCAGGACACTTTCCTAGATGTGCCTTCGTCAGATTGAAAAGACTGTTACTTGATGTGGTTGCAGTTAAAGGGCTGATCAATCGTCTATCCCTGAAGAGTTGACAATGTTTACTGGGTAAACTGTTCCAATTAAAATAAACAAACAATCAAACAAAGATAATATTTAATATATTTGACTCTTATTCTGCTGTTTCGGTTCTCCTAAAACTGATCTTTTGGCCTGTCCCCCCATCAGAAATATATAATGTGCTCTGATTGGTCAATTGACACAGCGTGTTCTAATTCGTCACATTAAGCATTAAGTGCACATTAAAGGAAAGATGATGTCTAGGGGGGGCGTAATGTAAATTTTACGGTTGGTGATGTCACAAACCTAGCAAAAAGATAGCTGTAGTCACTACCATCCATTTGTTGTTGGCCTTAAAAATCGAATTCTGTCCAATAAAATGTCGCTCTGTCTTTCTTTTGAAGGTTTTTGTTTATGCTTAAACAGCAGCACAAAAACAAGCAAAATCGTGAATTATTTTATATTGAAAGACCCTTCCTTTGATGCTGTTCTTACAATTAAAAGGATGGTTCACCTAAAAATGATAATTCCGTCATCATTTACTCACTCTTTACTTGTTTCAAACCTTTATGAGTTTATTTCATCTGTTGAACACAAAAGAAGATATTTTGAAAAATGTTTTAAACCTCCAACCATTGAATGCCATAGTGAATGTTTTTTCCTACTATGGAAGTTGATGGTTAAAATATCTTTTTTGTCTTCAACTGAAGAATGAAACTGGAAACACCCTTGGATGAATAAATAGTGAGTAAATTTCCAGTTTTGGGTGAACTATCCCTTTAACTTTAATTGATCTCTGAAAGGACTTTACCTGGCACTTTCTTGGCCCAGGCGATCATGTGGACGAGTTCTTTGTCAGCCATGTTGGTGAGCAGGGACATCATGGTGATCTCGGTGTAGGGCCGGCTGTGTTTCTGTCGTGAGCAGACAGCGGGTGGCTCAGCCCCCAGCAGCAGCAGCAGCACCTGGTCAGGCGACATGCATAAAGTGCTGACCACCCCACCACTGCGCTTCTTCCTCTTGTCCTGTGGGCCAGTCGTCCTCACGCCAGCACGGCTGCACTGATCACTGGTGCTCTTGTCTCGATCTTCATTACTGCTTCTTCTTCTCTCACGCCTGACAGAACGCCCGCCGCGATCTTTACGAATACCTTCAACACAAGTCAGCTGCACTATAACACTCAATTTTCAAACTGTAGAGGGTCAAATATATTGTGCTGACTGTGTGAAAAACTTGTCAGTCAAAATGTAATAAAGTGGAATAAAATCAATCAAAAATATTTTATTTACCTTTATATATATATACATACATACATGCATATATGCTCACTGGCCAATTTATTATGTACCCCTGTCCAACTGCTCTTTAACACAAATTTCTAATCAGCCAATCACATTGCAGAAACTCAATGCATTTAGGTATGTTGACATGGTCAAGACGAACTGCTGCAGTTCAAACTGAGCATCAGAATGGGGAAGAATGATGATTTAAGTAACTTTAAAAGTGGCATGGTTGTTGGTCTGAGAATTTCAGAAACTGCTGATCTACTGGGACTTTCATGCACAACCATCTCAAGGGTTTAAAGGTAATGGTCAGAAAAAGAGAAAATTTCCAGTGAGCAGCAGTTTGTGGGTGCAAATGCCTTGTTGATGCCAGAGGTCAGAGGAAAATGGCCAGACTGGTTCCAGCTTATAGTAAGACAACAGTAACTCAAATAACCACTCGTTACAACTGAACTAAGGTATACAGAAGAGCATCTCTGAACGCACAACACGTCCAATCTGTCAGCTAAGAGCAGGAAACTGAGGCTAAAGTTTGCACAGACTAACCAAAATTAGACAATAGAAGATTCAAAAACGTTGCCTGATCTGATGAGTCTTGATTTCTGCTGTGACAATCGGATTGTAGGGTCAGAATTTGGCGTCAACAACATGAAAGCATGGATTCATCTTGCCTTGAATCAATGGTTTAGGCTGGTGGTGGTGTAATGGTGTGGGGGATATTTTCTTGGCTCACTTTGGACCCATTAGTTCCAACTGAGCATTGTTTCAACGCCACAATCTGAGTATTGTTGTACTTATTGAAGGACCCATCTTCTGATGAGCACCTTTGGGATGTGGTGGAATGGATTCGCATTATGGATGTGCAGCAACTGCATGATGCTATCATGTCAATATGGACCAAAATCTCTGAGGAATGTTTCCAGTACCTTGTCGAATATATGCCACGAAAGATTAAGGCAGGTCTGAATTTAAAGAAGGTAGTAAGGTGTACCTAATAAAATGGCCAGTAATTATATATATATATATATATATATATATATATATATATATATATATATATATATATATATATATATATATATATATATATATATGTATGTATATAATGTAGGCTATTAGCAGCTAAATTTCTACTAATGGAATCTGCAAATAGAATGATGCATAACATACATAAATACATATTTATATACACACAAACACATGCAAAACAGTATCTTCTCTCACATTTTTGTAAATAGTTTTTTGCAAATATTTCAATATATTTTTTTCATGTAACAGCACTGAGAAGAATTACACAGCTACAATGTAAGCTCAAATTTGAATAGCTGTGTGTTGAGCTATTTTGAGGGGACAGCTGATTTACTCAGTTATACAAGCTGAGTACTCAGTACTTTACATTGTAGTAAAGTGGGATTTTACAATGCTGTCACATGAAAATATATATAATTTTTACAAAAATGTGAGGGCTGTACTCACTTCTATAAGTTACTTTGTGTATATGTCTAATCATATTTATGTAAATATAATATATACAGTCAAGCACGAGGATGAATAATTTTGGAGAAGATCCCTTTTAATTTCGAATTTTGCTCAATTCTTGACACTGGGAGAAACTCTACAGAGGCTGCTTTAAATCATGATCAAATGACAGATGATATTTACATATAGATGGAGAGGAAAAGAAAAAAATAGTAATATATATATATATAAAATGTACCTCCTTTCATCATGCCTACTTCATAACACTTGCGCAGTCTGCATGCTTGGCAGCTCTTTCGACGGTTTCTGTCAATAGTGCACTGGTTGGTCGCTGGACAAACATAGTCATTGTGACCTAAAGGTGGAGAAATAAAGCAGTGCTTGTTTTTCATCATTCTTAAGCAATCATGCTCAAACAATAAAATGCACAAGTAGAAACTCATGCCAGATCTTTCTTCAGCTCAGCTTTCAGAGAGGTTTTCCTTCAGAAACTTTGTATTAGCAAAATGTAAATACTGTTCCGTCACAAGCAACAAAGAGTGCAGTGCAGCGCATCAACAGCTTTGGATCTGATTAGGAGCTGAGAGCAGGTACACGCTGTTCCCGCTCTCCAAATGAAATTTTAAATTAGATGAGTGCGTCGCAGCCAGAAATGTCACAGACCGACACAAACACACTGACTGCTAAACCGCTGTATAAAACCACTTCAATAATGAGGTATAATAAGAGAATCTGCAACAGAGAATCCTAAACATTCATATGAAAAAGTGTATGTGAAGAAGGTTATTGTGGCAGTAAGCCAGTTTGGGTGGCTGTGAAGTCGACCTTGGAACTGTAAAAAGCAATTCACAATGTTCGTTAGAAAATCTCAGGGTACTCCCTGAATCACTAATGCATAAAACAGCACCTCTAAAAAATGAACAAGAGGAAGATATTACACTTCATTCACATTTAACACAAAGTCAGTACAATTTAGTACACATAATAATACTAATTAATATTAAATGTGTTTACAGCATATAAAAAAGATTACTTCCCGAGAGTCTAGCATCCTATTTTATTTATTTTTCACGAAGTTCAAACCATGGAGGTAATGCAGACTATAAAATGGCACCACTCAGAGTACACATTAGAGTATGGCCATTCTTTACATTTTTAATTCTCCTAGATAATGTGCACTAGTGTCACCACTAAAACGTTGCGTTTATTATACGTTGTAGAAATTAAGTTTGGTTTTGTAAGTTATTTAACAGTGTCTCATATTAATCCTTGTGTACTGTTGGGGATGTTTTCATCTACTCTGGGCTGATTTTTAGTATTCATTTGGCCACAACTTTTTCAGCTAGCAAAATGATTTCTGGTGACGAATCTTATTTTGACACATATTTTGAGAAAATGCTTTAAATAAAAAACAAAAACCTCAACAATAGCCTCTGTGCAAATTTACTACCCTTTTGTTATGTTCGAGATGAACACATCCACTAAATTAGACTCCTGTAAAAATGCATCAGATAAATATTTTTTTTTCTTTTATTTTGCATAAATCTGTTAATCAACCTCAGTTCTGATCAAAACTACTAAATTGGTTAGAAAAATTACAGGATTTTAACTCTTTAATAGCCAAATGTATAAGCAATGTCAATGATTTGGTGAAAAGAAAAAAATTCTATAAAAAATTAACTGTGAAATAAAACATGTGAAACAAAATTGCCTTTGATTAATTGTTTTGGGTGATTTTCATTTTTTTTCTTCCTAATTTTTTGTTGCTGGCTGTTTTTCCCCCATTGACTTGTATTATAACCACATGTTTTAATTGAAAAGCCATGACACCATATTATGCATTTTTGATTTGAAAAGAGGTCAAATTAGTCATTTGTACTGTTGATCAATAGTTGGCACCAAATTCTTCAGATAGGCCTGTGCAAAAAAAGCTTAGTTTCTGGATTTAATAAGGAGTATAACAGCAAATTAAAGTGTGTGCATGTGGGTCAGTGAGTGTGTGAGAGTGACCTTTGCGCATTTACCTTGATGTGTCTGAGAAAATCAAAATATGCCTCTCAGCTCTCAGAACTACATGGAGTAAACAAAGAGTATATTTATACACCATCAAATGTAGTTATAATGGAAGTCCGTGGGGCAAAAACAGCCACCAACAGTAAATTAGAGAGAAAACATTTCAATCTAACAATTCAACAAAGCCAGTGTTGTTGCTAATTGTTCAGATGTCCAAGTCTGTGGTAAAAGGAAAAAAGAAAAATCCAATCCACAATGACTTTTTACATCATTTTGTGTGTGTTTTTCACCAAATCAGTGACATCATTTGTGAACTTGGCAATTAAAGAGTTAAAATCCTGTAATTTTTAAAAACATTTAGTGATTTTGATCAGGACTGAGGTTGATTAACAATTGAAAAGAACAAATTTTAAATTTGTGTAGTGCATATACAATTGTTAAATATCATTTGAAGGTAACATCTGCAATGACAGGTGCCAGCCAAATACAGTATTCGCTACCATTTTTATGAAAAATAAACTAATATTACACCTGTTTAAATATTTTACTACAAGGATTCCTGTTGAGCAAATTATTACATTGTTATCTAAATAATTGCACTGTAAAATATCAAATACAGTTGAAATAAACAATAATTTATTTGTTGATATAGATATGTAATACATACATTGATATAGATATGTATACATATATATATTACACAGTTGATGTTTACATACACTGTATAAAAAGACACATAACCATTTTAAAAAGTCAGTTGTTATTGTGTGACTAAACTTTTTCTCTTTTAGGTAAGTTTGTATTATCAAATTTGTCTCTGTTATGCTTAATAGCAGAATAATGAGAGAGAACTTCTCTTGAAAGTCAAGTTTACATACAATAAGATTAGTATGCCTCTGACAAAGCTCAGATGATGTTGTCAAGGTTTTGGAAGTTTCTGCTTGGCTAAATGCCAATATTTGAGTTAACTGGAGGCACAACTGTAGAATAGTATTTTAGGAAAACATAGGAACATAGGAAAATTAACTAGCCAGAATCAACAAATTACAATTTGCTAAATTACACTGGGAAAAAGAATAATTTTTGGAGACATGTCCTGCTGTCTAATGGAACTAATATTGAACTGTTTGGCCATAATGACCAGTGTTACATTTGGAGGAAAAAGGGGAAAGCTTACAAGCCTAGGAACACCATCCCAACTGTGAAGTATGGGGGTGGCAGCATCTTGTTGTGGGGCTGTTTTGCTGCAGGAGGGACTGGTCCACTTCACAGCAAAGATGGCATCATAAAGAAAGAGCATTATGTAGAAATACTGAAGCAACATATCAAGACATCAGCCAGGAAATTAAAACTTGGCCACAAATGGGTCTTCCAAACAAACCATGACCCTAAGCATACTGCCAAATTAGCTAAAATGTGCTTTAAGTACAACAGAGTGAATGTTTTGGAGTGGCCATATATATATATAAAATACATAAATTGGCAGTTTTCCGTATTGTGATTTCTGTTTCAATTTTTCATTTTTCTGAGTTTATTTATGCTTTTGAATTGCTTTATGTCATCTTAATCTTCCAATAATTTTTCACCTTGAAAAGCTGAGTGAGTGACTTTAATTAACATTTGTAATAGTTTAAAGTGATGTATTGTTTGGGTTGGTATTGTATATTACGCAACAAAAACCTTGTAATAAACTGCCCGTATTCTCTGGACAGATTTCTTATACATTATATTATTTCAAACTACTGAAATGTCGATATAAGTCACGTAGTTAAACTGTAGAGTTGAACTTGCAACTTTAGATCAAGGTCCCATAATAAAATTCGCAACCATAAACCAAAAACACTTGTGAATCACACAATACGGTTAATTAACAGATATTGTTACAGTGAACTGTCAAAAATATTTTAACTAAACCAAATTCATATTGCTGCAATTTAAAACATATGTATGCTTCATTATCTTGCTTTTCTTCTTCTCAGCCTTGTGCTCTTTTCTTCCCTCTATAAAGTTGAAAGGAAGCTCTGTTCTGCCTTATGCTCACTGTAATTTTCCTCACCCAGTGTGCTCTGAAACCCATTTATCAGACATACACTTACAGTCATTTTCCCCAGTTTTCCTCACCCGAACTGCAGTTAGAGTCGGCAGCTGTTCCCTGCTCCAGCAGAGAGCTCATCAGGAGCCTGTGTGTCAGAGTCCAGCTCAAAACATCTCACCAAACCCACCCAGACCCGCACCCTTGATGCACAATACACTACTGCTAATAAGGTGCAGACAGAGACAGCTGTGTTCTGTCATTGTGTATGTCCCAGATGTAGCGCACATGAGATTTTGATTTTCACCTCATTCTAGCAGCTTTTAAAGGGAGGATAGTAGGGAGCGTGTGAGGATGATTACCTACTGGACACATTCACACATTCACATTTGGAAGCACAAAGGCTTGACTTGAAAATTATAGTATTACTACTTTATTTTCCATCCCTCGAAAAATGGCACTGAATGAAACTAACTGTGATTGGTTGCTTTACATGGCCATTAGATAGCAGAGAAGTTGTAGTTTTGAATTGGGTGAAGCTAGTTATGGGGATGTAAAGCCTAAATACTGGAATTCAATCCATAAATGCAAGAGACTTTTATTGAGCAAATGTGTTTCTAGTCCACATGAAATCAGAATCTACTCAGCTTATTATGCTAGTGCACATTGTTTGTCGACCAATTAATCCACAAAAAAAGGTTTGATCTGGTAATCTTTAATTAAAATCTAACAGTACGGTAATCTGAGTGTGTCAAATAAGAACAGGTTGAGTAGCCTGGTGGTAAAGGTGGCAGGCAAGATCTTCGGTTTTAACCAAACTGGTTCAATGGTAATTTACCATAATTGTGTTGTAAAGAGAGCGCAGGGTATCCTATGCACCCTGGATCACCCATTGTACTCTGTGTTTCAGCTGCTGCCATCAGGACATCGTTTTAGAGTTCCTATTTGCAAGACAAATAAAACTAGAAATTATTTTATAATTGCGGCCATTAGGTCATTAAATGAGTCCAGGGGGGAGGGAGATGCACCTACAAAATGATGTACACTGTAAGAAAAAAAATTATAATTTTACAGAAAATATCTCAATTTTTTTACAGTAGTTTTTTGTCATTTAAAATTATATTCAAAGTCAGTAAAATGACAAACAATCTCTCTACTTTATTTTAGGTACTTTATCATTAAAATTACTGACATTTTAGTGTTTTTTTATACAGGGAAAGTACTGTATTATTTATAGAGAATTTTAATGTTATTTTAAATTATATTCAAAACTCCGTAAAAATTACAAACAATATCTGTTAATTAACAGCCTGACTGTTATTTTATGTATAATATAATTAATGACAAATTACAGCAATTTGACTGTTTTTATACAGTAAAATCGCAGTATTATTTACAGTGTTTTTTCCCGTTTTTTTTTTCATATAAAAGAATGTAAAATTAAAGTAATATATTGTAATTAGTTGCACTTTTAAAATGAAAATTGTAAAAAAAAAAAAAAAAAGATAAATAAAAAAAAGTCAAATGACTGGCAGCTATGGCTGCCAAACAAAATCCATAAAATTATGTTAAAATTTCTTTGTTGAAAAAAAGTACAAAAATAATAAATCAAGAATGAAATTGTAGACTTGTATAGGGCTAAACGCTAAGGATTTTTAAAAATGGCACAGATAAAATTTTTGTTTTTACTTGCCTGATCAAAATTCTAATTCTAATTAGTTATTTCTTAGCCACATATTTTAAAAAAATGTTTCAAAACAAGCAGACCCTAGTTGTAAACATACAAAAAAAAAAAAAAAACGCTTTGAAAAAAAAACCTTTAATAAACTAAATGTATGCACAACAAGCTGTTATAATATTAATTACAATAACCAGAGCAATTTCAGTAGGGCCCAGGCACCATAGGATATGTGTTGAATTGACTGGGTAGCTTTACACAAACAAAGTAAATTAAGACCCATTTAAAATGATTTAAGACCTACCAGACAATATTTAAGGGCCTGAGATTAGTTTTTGAAATTTAAGACATAACTTTATTGGACCCTGTGGACACCATGGAAACATGAGAGGAGCATAACATAAAACAACATATATAGGAAACATAAAAGTTTAATAACTGTTTAAAGATTACTGTGATATCAGACAATTTACTCAGTTTGCACTGTTACCTGCTACACACACACACACACACACACACACACACACACACACACACACACACACACACACACACACACACATATATATATATAATAGAAAAGCATGCATATTTAGATGCAAGACATTGTGTAAGTGTTGGTCCTTGATTTTGATTAGCTGAGCAGCACTCTAACAGCACAAAGAGGTGATTCAAACAGCACAAATTTTTGCATTTCATTTCACTGCATTGTTTTTATGTGAACATGCAATAGCAAATCCATCGATGAATTGCCGTTTTGACTTTTTTCTGTGTACATGCAATAGCAAATCATAGCATCATCCAGTCTTGTGTCTTGGCAGCATTTTGCAGTGTAATTAGACAGAGTTACAAAAACACAAAACTCAGGTTTAACTTTTGAAAAATGTCCTATGTTTAGGTATTTTGGTCATAGTCATGGAAAAATTTAGGTGATGTTTTCTTACATGGTTATACCAATATTGGCTGTTTATGGGGTTTGATTTATGTTTAATGTAAATATTTAGTTTTTTTTTTTTAAGCATACAAATAAAATACTTTTTAAAACAAAACCCCCACCACCAATGTAAAATTCATGATATCTACTTTTGATTTGTATTGTATGAGCAAGATGAAACGTGCAATCTATTGTTGTGAATAAACTGTCAAACCCAAAAAGTTAAGGTAACATTTGCAGAAGTTTGCGTAAACCGATTCCAACAAACAATTTAAGTTTCAAAGCTAATCCTTCCTCCATTTAAGTTAAAGAAATGAAGTATTTATTTAACTCATTACTTTCAACACTGAGTTCAAAACTCTTTTCAAATGCGTAGAATTACCTTTCAGTATGTTTTAAGTCAGCTACAGTCATTTCATTTGATAAAGTTGACTGTTGGGTTTTACAGTGTATTAACAAAGCTGTGATTTGTTTTTGTTTTTTATTTGCAGCCGCGTCACATCCCTGCTGATATTCAGAACAACAAGACTGCATGTAAAACAGGCTGGTCACCTTGAATGCTTCTCTTGAAGAAAGCTTTGCATCCCTCACACGACCAGACTCCGTAATGATATCCAGAGGCGTAGTCACTGCACACCGCACAGAAGCGAGTCTCTTTCCCTGAATCAAAGCCTCCAGCCGCTCTGGATCCAGTGTACAACTCCTGCCTGTCAGTGGCACTGCACAGCTCCTCACACAGGCCCACGGCTGCCTGCTGAGAGGACACCACACTGGACCTGCACAAAAACAGAGGTGAACAGTCAATACACTAGATGTTACACTTCATATAAATAATTATTAAAGCAATAGTATTTAAAGTCTATATGAACATGAGGAGGGTGGCGTTTTATTTTAGCACTCCTCCTAGTCATCTCTCACATCTCAAACTAGATTATAATTGTAAATCAGGTTATAAATAAGAGGAAATAAGCATGCGCAAAAAATAGTAACAGCGTTCGCATGGGTTTCCTCCGGGTGCTCTGGTTTCCCCCACAGTCCAAAGACATGCAGTACAGGTGAATTGGGTTGGCTACATTGTCCATAGTATATGAGTGTGTGTGGATGTTTCCCAAAGATGGGTTGCGGCTGGAAGGGTATCCGCTGCGTAAAAACATGCTGGACAAGTTGGCGGTTCATTCCGCTGTGGCAACCCCGGATTAATAAAGGGACTAAGCTGACAAGAAAATGAATGAATGAATAAAAAAAATTGTGAAAAGGGGTCATTTGATAATGTGTTATTTATTTTAATTAAGTTTAAATTTCATCACGAAAAGGGCCATAAACATAAAATGCTAATGTTAACTTGTAATCATTTTCATCCTTTTAAAAAGTAAATTCTAAAATAAAGATCACATTTAACAGGGTTAAACTAGATTTTGAATGTAAAAAATAGGAAATAAGCATGCACAAAATATAGTGAAAAGGGGTCATCTGATAACCATTATGGAAGCATACACCCTAGAGTATATGGACAATTCAGTTCTAGAAAATCAGAAGAGTTTTCAAAAGTAAAATTGGCAGCGTGCATTGAGAATATGTACGTGACTGCAAACAGGGGGCAAGTGTGACTATCTCCATTTCCTTTTGACCCTTTGTTCCAGTGTTTGTAAATATTTATTATGTCTTAATTCTGATGTCCAGCAGATTGATTGCATGATCTCAGAAATGTTCTAAAGTGTCACCAAATGACAAATGACGTTTCCAAGCAGTCTTGCCTTTAAAAAAGAAGACTAGTTTTATTCAGACAACATGCTTTGGTTATAATGCTGTCTTCAATATTTGCTGTCCCTTGATCTCACTCAGTTCGTCTGAACGTGAAAAATGTTCTCCGTTGTGTTCAGACAGAACTAATTGTACTTTTCTCAAGGTCTAAAGACAGAGTTTGATGAGAGGCTTTACGCTTCTTTCAAAGACTGGTGTACTTCAGTCCCCATGTTGCACTCAAGTGTTTACTGTCCTAACCTCTTTTCCGAGAAATCAAGATCTACTCTAATCAAGAGCACTAATATTTAACAGCACAAACATAAAGCATAAACTAACAACAAGTAAAATAAAGTGTAATGTTCTGCAGAACATCAAACACACATCCACATAGAGACGCATTTATATTTTTTGTTAGTTTATGTGCTAAGCATAAATAAGTACACCACATTTTGAAAATTAATATTTTCATCCATTTCTCAGTGGATATAATCAATGTATTTTGGTGCATTTGGAACAAAACAGATTTATTAAACAGATATATTTATTAAAATAATATTTAAATTATAACCTAAAAAATTTCAACTACATTTTTACAAATTATACAAAACTTTGTACAAAAATACAAATTTAAAAAAAAAGAAAAATTAAGAGAAGCATTTTTTTGCTTCTCTTAATTTTTCTTCTTTTTAAAAATTTGTATTTATTATTTTTCTATAGCATATACATTTAGCTGTACTAGTTTTTGGAGCATCTTCGTAAGTTATTTTGTTAGATAAGCTCCAGATTTGGCTTCAGTACTGACTAATCTAATGTATATATATATATATATATATATATATATATATATATATATATATATATATATATATATATGCACAAATATAAAATTGTAAAGCTTCCTATTAAAAATATGAATTGAATAGAGAGATTGTTGAGGGGTGGACTCATATATGCTGAGATCTGTACATATCTAGATGAAATAACCACAATATCAAATTATGTGATACTTTTAGACAATTAATTCTCATGATCATTTATTCCACATATTCCATAAATGCTCCCTAATAATGTTTTCCGGGGAAGTAGATCAACATGTTGGTTTTACCATACAGTTCAACTTTGAAAGTGTCAAATTATTATAATAATAATTATTATTATTAAATCAGACATTTAAATAACAAAATTGTAAAAAGGTATCAAATGTAGCAGACTTTCACCGGGTTTCATTTATGCAAGGTGTTGTTTGGAAAAATGAGCCTCGGAAGGCAGGCATCCAAGCAAGATTGGAGTGCTAAAGCAAACATTATGCCTCAATGAATCATAAATCAGGTCAAAATCACCTCATTTGATTTACTGACCACCTGGCAAAATTTCATATCGGTGTTATAACCTTAAAAACATCTAATATAGGTTGTTTCCTATCATATTTACTATAGTTTAAGCTGGATTTTACCATATAAATGAATTCTAAGAGTAATTTTGAATCATTTTCAATGTTCATAAAAGTAATTGTGTTTTATATTTACCACAATCATCTAATGCTGTTTACTTTAACGCAGATTTACTTTAATTAAGCTTGAATTTCATCATGAAAAGGGCCATAAACATAAAATGCTAATGTAAATTTATAATCTTTTCATCATTTTAAAAAGTAAATTCTTTTTTAAATCTTAAAAAACTAAAATAGTTTTCTTTTACTGACATATTTACTACAGTTTAACCTTCCAGCAAGGCACATTTTTTTATTTAAATAGGACATTTCATAAACAATTCAAGGCACTTTACATAAGAATGATAAAATAAAATAAAATCATAAAAAGCACACAGTAAGTATAAGATATAAATGCAAGAATTTAAAATGATTACATACAGGACTATAAGCAATAATAATAAAAAGAAATAAGCATAAAAATGGCAATACTTTAATGACATGATAAATTTCCTGTCATATTTACTGCAGTTAAACTTAGGGAATTGATCCTATGGTTCATTTTTTAAATATTTTTGAATGACATGATATATTGTAAAAAGATCCCTGTCATATTTACTATAATTTAGCCTGGATTTCACAATTACAATAACCACAGTATCATTAAAGTTCCTAAAAATGATATTTATTTTCTAACACTTTACAATGATGGTCCATTAGTTATTGTTAGTTAATGCATTTACTAACATCAACTACAGTTGAAGTCAGAATTATTAGCCCCCTTTGAATTTTTTTCTTTATTAAATATTTCCTAAATGATGTTTAACAAAGAAAGGCTTTTTTTACAGTATGTCTGATATTTTTTTTTTTCTTCTGGAGAAAGTTTTATTTGTTTTATTTCAGCAAGAATAAAATCAGTTTTTAATTTTTAAAAAAAATCATTTTAGGGTCAAAATTATTAGTCTCTTTAAGCTATATTTTTGTCCGTAGTCTATAGAACAAACCATCCCTATACAATAACTTGATTAATTACCCTAACCTACCTATTTCACCTAATTAACCTAGTTAAGCCTTTAAATGTCACTATAAGCTGTACAGAAGTGTCTTGAAAAATATCCAGTCATATATTTACTGTCATCATGGCAAAGATAAAATAAATCAGTTATTTAAAATTAGTTATCAAAATTATTATGTTTACAAATGTGTTGAAAAAAAATATTCTCTCTGTTAAACAGAAACTGGGGGAAAAAATAAACAAGGGGGCTGATAATTCTGTAATAATAAACTGTAAGTATGAATAATTTTGCAAAGCATTAATTAATCATATTTCAACATTAATACATTAATAACATTAACATTAGTTAATGCACAGTAAATGAACATTCTTTAACTTAAATAACATTAACTAACATTAACAAAGATCAATTATTACCCGAAATAAAAGTGTTATTTGTATGTTCATGTTAGTAAATACATCAACTCAAAGACCATTATTTTAAAGTGTTGCCATATATTTTTATATATTATATTATATATTTCTAACTTTATTTAATAGTTTTAACTAATTTCATATTCATCATTTACTTAATTAAAGCCTGAGCTGAAATTTGCTGCTGCACTGACCTGTAGACGGTGCTGGACGAGGAATCCAGGTAGTAGGACACCTGATGAGGGGTGGTGTGGTGTCCTCCGTGATGGCTCAGATACGGGGACAGCTGTGGGCTGGAGGGTGCGAACATGAGGGGGCTGCTTGATCCACCGCCAAGCGTCTGTAGATGTTCCTCGTGGGGGTCTGGGGGAGCCGGGTAGTATCCCACTGAAGCAGGCTCTGCAGGCGACGAGGTGCCGAAGGTCTGTGTGGGGTTCGGGTACTCATAAGCTCCATCTAGGTAGTTGACAGAGGAGCTGATGCCCCCCGCGCTGTGCTCCTCCTTAGGGTACATGGGTGAGAGTTTGTGGGCGGCAGGTGGCGAGGAAGGTTCCTCCAGGGCTTCTCTCTCAGGACTCGGGCTGGTCCTGCGTCGCTGCCTGGCACCAACAGCCTCTCCGCTGGTCTGCCCTCCAGACATCACCATGGAAACACACACGCAGGAAGCATGACTTAGGGTACTATCTGTTCATAAGCAAAAGACTGTTTCTGTCTTTTTTAAGCTCAGGCTTCTTTTTTTCCACCTCCCACAGTCTTTCTCAAACTCTCTCCCCCTTGTTCTGCTTCGCTTCCGCTTCACTCTCTCGCTGCTCTGCCTACTCCTCCTAAAAAAAAACTACCTTCCTCTCCTACAGTCCTCCTTGGGCTGAGAGGACAAAGTATGATGTTTTTCTAAGATACGTGAGGCTGCTTTTCTTTCTCTTTCTTCCTGTCTTTCCCTCTTTAAACACATTTTCATTTTGATTCTTTTGCCTTTCTTTTATCCCATCTTTTCCCCCTCATTGTTCTTCTTTCCCCAAATGTCTTATGCATTACATTTACACTGCAAAGAAATACATTTCTGACTTCTTGAAGCTGCTTTTTTTTTTTTTTTTTTTTTTTTTTTTTGGAAGGAAGAGCATTCAGGAAGCATTTTCTAGACAAGTAAAAAAAATTGTTTTGTTTTACTTTGAAACAGAAATAATGTCAAAATTGAGGGAGATTTTATGTCAAACAACAAAAATGATTTTAAAATGATCTTATTTCAACCCGAAATTAAGATTTATTTACCCACTTCATTGGCAGATTATTTTTAAGGGACAAAACAACACAAAAACAGTATTTTTACATCATTTTTTTAGATAATTGTTAGGTATTTGGACTAGACACAAGACAAAAAGCATTATTATTTGCAGTGTAAGAAAGGATAAACCCAACTGAAAGGTGTGCTTTTCTATAAAACAGGAAACCAACAGGACAGGAAACTCAACTGAAAGCACTAATAATAGAAACAATGCTCGATTACAAAACGCTAGAGTAAAAGACACATGGAATATCATTACTAGAAAAACAAAAGCTGAAAAATTGGTTGCTGAATTCTTTCCAGCATCCTCACCAAAATGTTCACTCCTCTGATGTTTTACTTGAGTCCCATTACAGGCTGGATGCTTTCTGTCTCTCACTGATGTATCTCTGACTTCCTGTGTCCTTCTTACTTTCTCTGTCTGTGTCTCTGGCTTAAAAAAAGAGGAGGTAAACAAATTAAAGACAGCCAGGTCGATACTGACGGTCACTTCTCAGAGCAGGTCATGGCAACCAGGTAAACAAGAGATAGGAGGTCACCACTTGATTCACTTGCCAAAACCTTTGAGTTTTACAGGTGATGCGCTGCGAAACCACTTTACATGCTGCTGCCATGGGAAATTATATGTCAAAGGAGTAATTAAATTTGTTGGAAGATGCTTGCAGGAGGTTAAAAAGGGAAGGAGACGCTATTCAGCTCTCTAGGGACAAACAAATCTGTTTGATTATAATCATTTCTCTGTACTGGCAGCTATTTTACACAGAAATGGAACGTGTGTGGGTGTTGTGCTTTTTGTTTGATTAGGGAAACTTCATTAGACTGACTATGGATTTAAATATACAGTACTGTTAAAACAATAAAATAAACTGACACTTTTTTTCAGCAAGAGTTGATTAGATTTGAGTAAAAGAATTGATTTGATTAGAAAAGGCAGTGAAAACGTTTGCATTGAAATAAATATTTCAAATAACTGAGTAGACATTGATAATTATTTGACTTTACGTTTGCTGTCAGATATGCATATTTATATATATTCTTGTGACAAATAAAATATTTGAAAAAAAAATCAAAATAGAAAAACATTTACATTTTAATACTGTTTCACATTAAATGGTTTTAAATATATTTAATTGGTTTTTACTGTCAAATAAATACAGTAAAATATATTGTAAATCATTTAAAAATATATATCATATATTGAACATAGTGGTGGTAAAAACAGAATTTCTAATGATCACAAGTTTTTTTTTTAATGGTCATTAGCCGTTTTAATAAAAAAAACACAATTCTTTCCTCAAATATAATTACTGCTAATTGGCTCATTTTGATGTGTGTATTCATGTTTTGCAGCTTACAAATCTAAAATAGTAATGTTCTTTTCCTAAATAGAGCATTTTGTATTAATAGCCTTTATGCAAGCAGATGTCTGTGTCCTTTTGGCTCAATTAAGTCTCAATCTGCTCCTGCAGGGTTCTTAGAAAAACAATTTTAGATATACAACACTATTATTTACTTAAAACAGTGCATTTTTAGTGTATGCTTGAGCTACGCTTAACCAGAACAGAGCTAGAACTAGTACAGTTCAAAGACCAAAACCATGGCCTTGATTTCCAAAAAAAAAAAAAACCCAGCTTGGCCAGAGTCCTCAACTGACACCAAACACACACACACACACACACACACACACAAAGATAGCGTTCACGTGATAATTGCAGAACATTAATGATTTGTGCTTTGTGGGGTTCTTTACTCTTATCTCTTACTCTCTAGAACAGATAGAACAATAAGCTCCTTGCAAATACATAGATATATACATAAATACATACGTGTGTGTGTGTGTGTGTGTGTGTGTGTGTGTGTGTGTGCACACAGAACTAAAAAAAAAATCATATAAAATGCATCAGAGAAACTTTGACAATTTGTTATTTGTATGATTTGGGAAGAGAAAATGTATTAATAGATTTATACAGAAATAAGCAGTGGAATTAAGTTTAAAAAAGAAACCAAAAGAAATCTTTCCAAATTTTATTCAATTTTCAAAATAGAACGAGCAGTTTCAGTGCGAGTACACATCGTCCTGACTATGGCCTGTTTCCATGCTCATTAATAAGCTTTCAAGAGTTCACACTTAGCTGATAATCAATAAAGCGTATTTGGCATGCTGTCCCGGGAGAGAGCCTTGAGCTCGTAATATCCTCGAGCCCGGGGCTCCCTCCCGTTAGAAGGGTGAGAGGGGAGTTCGAGGTCAGGTAGGTCTCGAAAACTCCCCTGCTTGTCACCGTGAGAAGTGTGAACTGAGGTTGTATTGGGTGATAATTTGTTTTAGTCGATTTGGCTATGGTTCATGTTTTGGACGGTGGGAGGAAACCGGGGAACCCGGGGGAAACCCACGCGAACACGGGGAGATCATGCAAACTCCGCACAGAAACACCGACCGGCCCGAAAGGTTGGACCGGCGGTGTTCTTGCTGTGAGGCAACAGTGCTAGCCACTGGGCCACCGTGTCGCCCAATCAGGAAAGGAGGAGGATGAAGGGGTGGAAAGGGGGGAGCTTCAAGACGAAGATAACTGGAGTGATAAACTCAGGTTATTTATAATGCTTCCGTAATCATCTAATGGGGCTGATTACGGAGCTAATAAGGAGCCAGCCGTGTTGATTATAAGCACGTGATCCTCTCGAAATTAGTTTATGAATAAACCACACTTAAAAAAAGGAAACAACAGACACAAGTAAACCTGCTTTATAAGTGGGTTTGTTTATTCAAATGTAAACAATGAAATCTCTCTGAGACAGTAAACTGTATGGCCAGTGTTTTGCAGAGAGCAGAATGCGCTACTGTATGATGGTCAGTAAATCACCATGATGTTTTGTGGACATTTCATACAATTTCAAGCTTTTAAACTTTACATTTTCTTTCTGTTATTGCCTTACTGGAAATGTTTTATGTAAACAGTGTATTTTGCACTCCATACAAAGCCCACTGCCTATTATATATTGGGGAAAAGTTATACACACATTGAATTTTAATCAAAACACATACACTTCACTTTTATCAACCTCATCCATCCCAAGTGCATGCTGATAAATACAGATGTAAATTGGGGATTTATGAAGTGTCTTTACTGATACTTGCAGATGTAGTCTACAATGCATGACTAGTTTGCTTTCATACTATAGCGGACGCTTGTGTGGTCAAATGCATTCAAACTGCCTACTCGCTCACTCACACACGCTCTCTCTCTCTCTTGGTGAAAAACCAACCAGAGAGATTTTGACTTTGCCACATGAAAATATTTAGATTTAGATCTCAGGAAGCTTTGGTGATCAGCATTGTAAGGGATAATTCTCCTAATACTGAAAATTTTGTCATCCTTTACTCACCCTCCACTTGTTCCAAACTAGGAATGGGGTCATTTTTTTCAAGGTATACTGTGGTTTAGAAAAGTCAAGGTTTTAAAACTGCCAAATTTCCAATCGTTCCTACTACAGTAGGAGTTTTAAAAATGTTTTTGTTTGTTTTTTAGGACAACAGTATCTCCAGCAGAATATAAATCCAAAGATGCCATTTTAAAGAATTGATTGTTTTTTTAACTAATGAAGACAGCTGGTCAACGATCTCTTTTAATTATTTAGCCTGACATGTTTACTGCTCCAAAACATTTTTAAAGTTACTCAGAATAAATTATATTGTTTTCAAATGGGAAAACAGTTTTAGTTAACACATTTTAGAGCAGCAAACACAACGATTGTGATATTTTTATCCAAGGTTATTATACCGTCAGATTTTTTCATCCAAAAATCTTCTGTTGTGTCAGAGCATAGAATCAACAAAGAGGCGACTCTCTAGTGCAATTCCAATAGAACAACAGCATATAACAAGTCTGTAAAATAAACTATTAAAAGTGCTGATGATAGTGATAGTAAGTGTTGTATTGTCATCTTTAAGGTTGTATCTCAGCCTTAATGTGCTTTATAAATAAATAAATAAAAAATAAAGCAGCTGCTTGCCATCGTGACAGCAATAAGATCCAATGGACAGCCGATGGCTTTTTACTTCAAAATGGCGGAATCCGGGGCTGTTGCTGAGCGCTGCTGTTGCAATGGAACGTTCTATTGATTGTCACCTTTCAGTGATTCTAAGCTCTTTGGTTGTGTTCAAAAGAAAGAAAATGTTTGGAACAACTGGAGGGCAAAGACATAGTGAGTGAGTTTTAATTTTTTGGGTGAACAATCCCTTTACCGTGATAAAAACATTTTTTTTGTAGACTTTTATCAAATGTACAGCGCGTGCCACATCTTAATGTTTGTACATCTGTATTTTTGTGGCAAATATTCTTGGACTGAATACAAACCAGCAGTGCAAACAGACAATCTATTACTCTGTAAACTAGGCTCGAGCTCTGCCAGGCGTCTCTTCAAACCTTCACTTATCAATTAACAATGAAAACATTCGATGTGCAGAAAGAGTCGTTACATGACTTGCTCTAAAACTGTTGAATAATAAACACAAGCAGAGATTAGCAGACATTTGTTTGGCATGTTGGTAACCGAAGGGTGCATTTTTTTAATATTTTGCTTCTGGTTATCACCCTTATCAGCCTCTACTGTTCTCTGTGTGGACTGGAAAACTGCACCACGGCGTATTTTCCATTGGTCATCCAGTCTGGATCCTGAGTGCTGAGCTTCTCTGCGTGACCCGCCTGTAAGCCCACCTGAACATCAGCTTTTAGTGTCCTGAGACTGCAGAGAGGGGCTGGCTGGAACCCCCTAAGTGCTTGATCAAACCGAACCGTGTGCTCCCATTTCCTATCTCCAGTCAGCTTCCTGTAGTTCAGATCTCCTTTGAAGAGAATCAGGTCTGAGGTCTGCAGTGTGCTGTAGAGATTAGCTGCATCCACCGTCATGTCGCAGAACTCATGGGGCAGAGTCCAAAATGGATGGTCGTGGTAGGACCAGGTACCCTCCTTCATGAAATGCTTCCATTGGACACCGCTGGCTGACATCCACTTGTGATTGGCTGCCATGGTCTGCTTGATGGTCCACTCAAAGTCTTGTTTAGTGACGTCTGAAACAAACCATGGGATGGACTTGCCATGAAATCTGATTTGCTTGGCCAGTCCGGATGAAATAAGGAAGTCTGCAAGAACTAGATCAGTAACGAGTTCAAAACCAGCGTTGTCTAAAATAATATCCACTCTTGCATGTTTCATCCCTGAGGATCTGGACCCTTGAGAAGCAACTAGTGTTGACCAAACCATGCTGGAGTCATCCACTAGGATGAAGCGCTGGAGATCAGGCAGAGAATCAATGGGACTTAACTTTTGAGAGTTGTCTTGACCCGCAGAGATGGACAGATCACACTTGTTTCCCCACAGAGAGACCTAGAAAATACACAATAAACCTGATTATGTGAGCAACCCACAGCTTAGCATCAATAAAGTACTCAAGCACATGCTGAGAACAACAGCCACCCCTGGGCATGGGATTTGGCATAAACTGGAAGTCATTTTGGTTAACAAGATTTTCTGTTCTAAATTAAAGATGAGACTCGTTGAGCTTATGGTTATGGCTCTCACCGAACTCAATTATGATTTCATATCTCCACACAAACAAGAACAGAAGATCCTGGCTTTTGAGAGTTAATGTTGCATAAACAATTGTTTTTAAATGGCATGGGTGAGTCAGTGTGATGTCACTAAAAACATTTGGGTTGCAACAAGCCACATTTATCAGAAGTTGATCAGCGTTATTCACAGCATACTTATTTTTCAAAAACATAAAAAAAACACTATGTGAAGTTGATAAATCTGTTAGTTAAACTCCTGCACCACATGGATATTGGGGTGCCCTCACAAATTGTTGGTTAACCATGTTGGGTTTTTGATTGTGTTTAACTGAATGACCTCTAACGTTATTCATACTTGAAGCAAGGGTCCTCAAGTAATTTCAATATTAATGCAAAACAATAAAACTTGAAAACAACACAGCCAATGCTTTTCTAAACATATTTATATATTTATTAAAAAGCTGGATAGTAATTCTGCAGTTTGGCCAATATTTTTTGACATTTATTTTCACAAAAGGTAAATTTTTTTTAAAAAAAAGCTGAGACTTTACTTGCATTTAAATAACTTCTGTAAATTTCATTTGATGCAGACATGAAAATGTGAGGCCTCGTCTTTGACTGCTTGACATACTGACCTGGATCAGCTTGAGGAAGTTCTCTCGCAGCTGTATCTCTGTCATGTTCTCCATGTTGGTGATGAGCTCCTGAAGGTACGTGCAGAGGTACTTAATCGCTTGCTGAGATTCAAAGTAGCTTTGCGTTTTTCCCTCCTTAAACGGGTCAAAGTTATGCATCGGTGGACTTTGGAAACACAAACAAAACAAATTAATTAAACCATTAAAAATGTGCCAATGCAACAAGGCGAGTACAATGAACATTGCTTTAACAAAACATTACAATATACTTTAAAGTACATTATAGATAAGTGTTTCTCAACCACGTTTCTAGAGGACCAGAAGACATGGAAATTGTGCAGGACTGGTGGTCCTCCGGGAACGTGGTTGAGAATCATTGTTATAGATAGCACTTTAAAATCAGTTATTTAAAAAGGTGTAATTTGCCTTGTAAATTATTATTAAAGAATTTCTAGGCACATTATTCCATTCAGTTATTCCTCATTTCTTCATTTAGACCTTTTATGCATGCATTTCAATGGTTTTCGTTACAATTCTGTTATTTAAATCTTTTTTTATTTACTGTACTAACAAGCCAATTTTGCTTCTGTAAGTTATACTTGTATTAAATTACAACCCTTTTAATGTAAACTGTGATTGCCATGTGGTCACATGTCCTTGTAAAGAGATAACAAGAATACATTTTTGTTCATAATATATATTGTCTGATTATACTATCTATTTACATAACAAACATTTTGTTTGCATTAATATATAGGATGAGATTTTGTGTGTCCTACAGCATTTAATTGACTGTGAAAAGTTGATTAAATAGATATTTTTATTGCAACATGAAAAAAAGTTCCATCTGAACAAATTAAACTTTAGGCAGGGTTTTTACAGGTTTCACATAGTTAATTTTAAGACTTTTTAAGATATTTTAGGACCATTATGAGTGAAATTTTAGACTCATAAAGGAATGAAGGCGAAGTCATTTTTCAAATGGCCCAGATGGAAAATATTTTTATTTGACCCATCAAAAAATATATAATTTTAAACAATTAATAATACAATAATAATTTAATCATATTTCTCAGCTAAATATTTTAAATTTTGTTTAAAAACAAGCAAGCTCTACTTTTTTTCCAACATAAACCTTCTTTAAAATAAAAAAACGAACAAATGTTTTTTTTTTTTTTTAAGTTTTCATAAAAGTTTTAAAACAATAATAAGTCTATGGATCTTATAATCTATGGACAACAATCTGTCAAGGTGAGTGTCTTTAGCAGTAAATACATCGAGAACTTTTAAACAAATGTTATTGAAAGGACAATAATTAAACCATTATGATACATAGAGTTAAAATGACCCTTTTTAAATAAAAATGTAAATTTTTATTGAGATGGATTGTTGGTGATTTGATGGGTTTTGGCCAAATTGGGTAGCAATGCATGAACAAAGGAAAATTAAGACCTTTATTTAAAAAGATTTAAGACCTACAACACAATATTTCAGTAAATTTAAGACTTTTTAAGGCCTAAAGTTTGGATTTTGCGTTTTAAGGCATTTTAAAACCCTGCAGAAACCCTGTTTAGGGGACTTAGACTTTTAATTGAGTTAGATTATAACAATTCCCAAAGTAATGATTTTAATGTAACATAAATTCTCTGTGGATTTCTTAATTTGGCCTCATAATGTACTGATTTAGCAGATTTGCGTTACTTCATATACAGAGCCTCTTGGATCCTTCGGTACATGTAACACTCCACATAGAGCCACGGCGACTTGAACCAGCTGACCAGCTGCCCATTCTCCATCAGGTCCTGCTGTCTTTCCATGTATTCATTCCAGGCCTGTGTGTCTTCAGCATTATCAGTGAGAGCCAGCACAGGTTTGTCTGTCTGCAGTTCATTCCTCAGCCTAGACAGGAAGGAGATGGCCCTCTTCTCTGCCTCCGTCCCTTCCTGATCAAACACAGGAAGTTAAATCTGCTAGTAGATGCATGATTTACTTGAAGAGCAACATAATGAATCACTGAACACTTAGTAACAAGAGAAAAAAAAATAAATAAATAAATAATAATAATAATAATAATAATATATATATATATATATATATATATATATATATATATATATATATATATATATATATATATATATATATACCTCGCCATATTCTTTATAGAAGTTGTCCTTATTGCGGTGTAATGTGTCCACCACTTTTGTGAGTATAGTTGGCAGTCTGTCTCTCACAGTCAGATAGGCAAAGGACCTAGAAATGGTAAATACATTAAATATTTTAGAATTAAAATCATTCAGATTAAACACTGTCAAGTTTGTCAATAGACATAACCTAAATTTACATTACTAGCACTGCCAATTTGATAAATAAGAGAATTCGAAATACATAAAATATAGGATTATTTTTATTGATTGTCACGTAACGTAGTAGTGTGGTCTTTGTAATCAATGGGTCGCAAAAGCTCGTTAGTCGACTATGTAGACAGTATATGTAGACATATATGCCTCTCCAGCTGTACATGACTTGACACCATTAAACAGTTTCAGCAGCTTTTAAAACACGACCATTGTAGGCTGTCATGCTTTCATTGAAACTGAGTAACACGTAAAAATACGACAGATACCTCGCTGTAGCCTAATTCTACATTAAAGTCGTAAACGGCTAGCACGAAAGAATAACTATATTTATGAAGACATACCCCTCAAACTTAGCAGAGAGCGACTGCGGGGGCAACATTCCCTCTGCCTCCATCTTTGCAAACAGGAAGAACTCGTGAGGTGATTTTCAACAAGCTTTATTTTAGAACGGTCGATGAACAATCACAAGGTAGTATACTTGTCTAAAATACAGTGTGTCTCTCATTCACATACCGCGGGAGCACATTCAGACACAAATGTAAACATCATATTTTATATTTTATCAGTAATCATACGACAACTTTAAGCTGTCAAAACATCTCTTGATCAATGACACCACTGACCTCTAGTGGGCGTGTAAACAAAATGCCACGATGTAACAATATTATAATTGTTTTTAAATTATCACGCCAATCATAAACTAATAATTTAGTATCAGTTCAATTTGAACAATCACTGCACTGAACATTTTTTCAACACATGAATGAATCAAATAAACAAAATATGAAAAAATCCACATTAAATATTCCAAAACCACATTTCATATTTATTTCACTTGTTATTTTAGCTTAACAAAAAGCTTATGTGGGTCTCCTGTAATTGTAGATGATTTGAGCAGGTCAGTCAGTCTGGTCTTTTTGGCTGGTATTAGACAGTTTTGGGCACTTTTCTGCTTGTCAAGCTGGGTGACCAGCCGGCCAGAGCTAGACAATTAGCTTATCCAGAAAGGACCAGAGAGAACCAGCTCAGTCTGGTTTAAATTTCATTTTAAACATAGGTAAACTGGGGTAGTTCTAGACCTATTTTTATTTAGTTTATTATTTTTATTTCACCCAAACAAAAAACTATCATGTCAATAATTTAAACATATTGAACCATTTTATCCTCTGATATTGTGTGTGTAAGTCCATACACACAGAATAACAAACTAATGTTGATGAGAAAAACATTTTGAACCATTTCCCCACATTTTTAGTTTGTGTGTTTGATAGTCCTTATATATGCTTGTACATTTACTGTAATAATAGTAGCACACTAACCCTCTGATAATAAATTCATACAACTGCCCTGTAACATTTAAGGATTAAATATCTAAGTGATTGTTACTGATTTACTTTCAATGATTTAAAAGATAACTCAGGTTTGTTTAATATATCTAATCTACATGTAACTTTCAATAACAAAATGCAGATAGGCTACTATATTAGCTAAACCAACTAAATTTCATTACTCTTGTCTACAAACAGCAGCAATTCAAACTAAATCATATTTAAGGATGATAATGTGATTTTCAAACATTGGAAACAGAAAACACAGTCCCAGATGTCTTCATCGCCCCAGTAGACCACATGGCCTGAACAGCAGCTTGTTTTCCACCACCCCCCAACTTCCCTTTCCTCTTTTTTTCACAAACCCACGGCCTGAAATAGTCATCCTCATTTAGCAATCTTAAATGTCCATGCAGGCTGAAGTACTCTTTAAAAATTTCCTAATATTTTTCTCAATTCTTGTTTGAGTTTATTCACGGTATTTCCCTTGTTGTTAATTTCCTGACATCTTTAGCAGGCCTCTAGCAGCTCACATCCTGTTACTGGACACAAGTGAAGTGAAAGGGAAAATGTTTAATGTCTCTACTTGCAGTTTTAAAATTTGAGCTAAACTTAACACTTCATGTAAGAAAAAAGAACTGAACTGAAAAATATTTCCTCTTATAGCACTATTATTATTGCTGAAGTGCGGCTAATGAAAGAACCCACTCCTGGTTCAGAATGTCCTAGTGGTAACCTTTCTGATTTGGGGTAAAATATAGTAAGTGGATGGTGAAAACATGGATCAAAGATAGTCTTTCTGTGTCCGAAAAAACATTTAATCATCACCCTTATTGAGATGGTTCACTCAAAACTGAAAATTCTGTGATTATTCACTCACCCAAACCTGTTTGACTTTCTTCTGTTGATCACTAAAGATATTGTTTTCCCTACTATGGAAATAAATTGTTACAGGTTTTCAGCTTTCTTCGAAATATCTTTTTTGGATTCAACAGAAGAAACTTTGAAATTACCTGAGGGAGAGTAAATAGTAAGTGTATTTTCAGTTTTGGGTGATTCCTTTAAAACTAAACAAATTGGTGTAATAATAGTGTTATTAACAATCCTTATTTTTCATAATTTAAAATGTATGAAAAATAATAACTGTAGATAATACATAAACTATTTGAACAAATAGATTAGTTTAAATAAAATAAATCCATATTTAAAAAAATATAAGGCTACTCTTATAATCTTTGGTCAATATATTTATTTTTGTAATAATATAATATTGTCTTTTTCAGTGAAATGAAACGAGTATAAATGTTTAGCTGAAAGCTTGTTTAATGCCGATTATGAGTATGTAATAATCCTCATTAAGTACATTGCAACCGGTAGGCGTGAAATCCTCGCGCGCCTTCAAACACTACGTGTATTTCTCGTGCGCTCGTTGCTTTTGGCTCCAAAAGTGCACAGTCTGTCTGTCAACTGAAATGCAAATCGCCCTGCTGCGTGTATCTGTCTCGATACGTTATCTTCATGTGGGGGTGGGTAGCGTGACCTACGGCTATCCAACTCCACGAAAATCCGTTTATGTGTAACGTTCACCAACGATCGGCGCCCTGAACGAATGCTCAACATTCATCTCCGCCGCACCGTGAACACATGAGTACGAACGACACCCGTAACGTTCACCAGCGCACTGTTTGGCGGCTCTCAGCGCCAAAGACCGTTTGTTTTGGCATCCCAGGGAAGTGGGTTTTACAACCGCTGTTTTTAAGCCCTTTTAGACAGTCATGTGATTGTAACGTAACCCGACCGGAAAACACCGACGACCATCGCCGCCAATGCTGCGTTTGAGAGGAACAGAGCAGCTGCGAGCCCAACGGACAAGTCCTCCGGTAACAGACAGCAACTCGCCGAACTCCACACGCCCGAGCGGAGGAAAGGTACGTGTGTTTACACTTATCAACCTTTAATTTGTGCGTTGTTTGTTGATTTATTTAGTTTCGTTTATTTCTTCGGTGACCACCCCTTCCCCCAGTGCGTGTGTGTCCGTTTCACGAAGCACCGTTTATTTTCGCTTCTCGCCTCTGATGCTCGCTCTGCTCCGTTCTGCCTTGTTGTTGTTGTGAATTTTCGGCTTTATTCGCGGTACGGTCGCTGGATCGGGTGCTGGTCGAGCAGCGAGCGTCTGCGCGTGATCTTATCAGTCATCGCGTTTCAGTTTTTGACGGTTTATTTTCTATTTGCGAAGAAAAACAGATTGCGGAAGTGGTCGGTCTCTGCGGGAGATCTGTCCGTTCCACGTGTCTCCGTGGTGGGCGGAGCGAGTTTACAAACCCACAATGAGAGCGAGCTGAAGTTAGACGTGTGATAATCTGTGTATGAGGGATTGAAAAGCCTCGACACAACACCTGTAAACGGGTAATAAATGTCCTTTGATATACAAAAAGCTCACTGTTTGCACTTTTTACACACTCTATGGATGCTGAGTGGCTCGTATGCAATTAAATGTCCACCCAGTGAGATTTGTTTATGGAAAAAAAACTTAACACGGATAAAAAGTGAACATACTTCCGTGAAATAGCTGAAATTATGTTCACTTACCTGGAATATCATTTATCTACAATGATCTATTTGAAAGATGCTACTTCCTCATGGGTACTGCCATGTTGACATCACATGATACAAAGCAGCAGAGCTCATCAGTGCACTCATTATAAATTCATCCATTTATAGTATAGAATTATATATTTGTTATGTAGTATTGCTTTTTAAGAATAACATCGAGAGGTAGACATAGATAACTTAGTCACAGCAAAAAAAAAAAAAAAAAAAGTTCAACAGCAAAATTCCTGGATAAGGCTTGTTACCATTATTCTGCTGAGGAACCCCCACCAAAGAGTGAAAAGCATCATGACAAAATGACTCTTTAGTCCTTGACCACCCAATTAAGCATATACACTTTGCTAATAAATAATAGTCATACTAGTGAGACACAATGCTTTTTATTTAAATTCATATACTGAATTCATAACTTCCTTCTCTGACTATTCACTTTCTAGGGCAAAAATAGTTTGATTATGAATGGTATGTGGTTCAGTAGCTTTCATAAAACACTTAAGTATCTGGTTTAGTTTCAGTATTTGATGCCACTAATTTGGTTTGTTTAAAGCATTACAACTTTTTATTGAGGTAAAGTTTGTTTTATATTTGCACATTCCTTTTCTGACAACTTGTGACAGGCTACTATGTTGTTTACCATGGTAATTTGAATATTCACGTCATATTTGGCCCTAAAGGTTCTTTAGATTCTTTTATTTTTGACAACACAAATCTTTTTGTTGACCAAACTCTTCTCAGTTCTATGTCTAACAAAGATATTTGCTTAGTTATTAATAGTTCTCGGATCTCTTTACCTGCTTGCATAGGTTTTTGGAATAATATATTTGATGGCATAGATTGGGAACAGTTTTGGCTTCTTCAGAAAAAAATATTTGTATCTAATAAAGCTGTTGAAGTCTCGATCAAAATCATTCATAATTGCTACCCAATAAATACCAAACTAGCTAAATTCAGTAACAATATTTTCCCTAAATGCTCATTTTGTACTCAAAACGATGAAACACTAAACCATTTATTTTTGGATTGTACTTACTGTAAAGTGTTTTGGGTTGACTTTTCCAATTTCATTAAAAAATTCTTATTTCCAAACTTCTGTATTTCCCCAAAAATTGTATTCTTTGGTTACTCTCTGAGTGTTGATCCTTCTCATTTTAAATATATTATTAATTTATTGCTTTTTTTAGCTAAATTTTATATCCATTAATGTACATTTTCAAAAAAAACTCCCTTATTTTTTATTTTTTAGAAAGGACTTTGAAATTTATGTAAACTGTTTAAAAGACTCTAACAATTACATTGCATGTAAAACGCTTTCTTGGTGTAAATAATTTAAACTTGTTTAATTTGCTGGAATTTTATTTATGTAACCCTCTTTGTCTTTTTGTTCATATTGTATCTTTTTAATGTTCTTCTTGCATAATAAAAAAAAAAGAAAAAAAAGTAAATATTCGGTCTGAAATCAGATGCAAGTATGACTTCA